GTAATAGCCCAATGCAGAGCCTTACACACTCAGCAACATATACACTAGATTTAAGAGTCGAAAATATGCATAAGTTTGGGTATACAAACCCAGGCTCAGAATAATAAAAATGAATACAAAACTAAACACCATCATAGTCAAGTGTATTCGTTCATTAAAGACAACCTCGGCCAGAAAACCAGACTTAAGTAATACTGATCTATTTCTGTAGACGAGCTAAAAAGTCGTACTTTTGAGCTCATTAGCAATCTCAGAAACTGTAGATCCAAGACTGTTCAGTTTGAGGTAATTACCATACTTGCCTTTAAGTTTCTTTCTCAATGGTAAGCAAATTAAAGATCATTCTGTGGAATGCCAAGGGAATTCTAAACAAAAAAGAAGCGTGGTTAACAAATGAGACCTCACTTAAGATTGCTAATTATAGCTGTTACAGAACAATCGTACGATCAGCAAAGGAGAAAGGGTAGCAATCTTCATTAAAAGAAATATTCGGCACTCTCGGGTTCCTCTTCCAAATACTAAAGTTATTGAAACAATTAGCGTAAAAAACAGCTTTTTCAAGCTGACATACGTAAGTTCTGTAGTGCAAATGGAACATTCATTCTGGGAAGTGATTTTAATTGCAGACATCAGTCATGGGGATGCTCTAGAGCGAACTCATGAACTTATTAAAATAAAAGGTAGACAGCAGAAACTTTTATCTAATGCTTCCCTCGAAACGATCATATCAGCCCGCAGGAAGTCACGGGTGGCCCTCAACTTTATACATTTTCCTTATCAATCGTCCCGTCTATATATCTAGCCCACGAGTGTCTGATCACTTTAAAGTGCTTCTTTAGATCTCTGTTAACCTTACCGTGTCCGCAAATTACTTTTACTTCAATATAAAAAGAGCAAACTGGGTAAGATTCGCTCGTTTCGTCGATAATTCGTTTCCTCACCCAATCTCAAACACAATGTCCCGCACAGAAGATGTTGATCACATGATTAACTTTTTTTCTTAAGTCTTTCGTGAAGCCAAAGATGTTAGCATCCCAAAGGAAGAAGTGAAATTTTCCTTAAAGCCACTATCGCAAAACATTCTCAACCTTATAAAGAGTAAAAACATTCGACGGAGCACTAAAGAGATACTAAAATTTAGAAATAAATTACTATTGAAACATTAGATAAAGGTTCTTCCCCTTTTGGGAAACTCTCCAAAATTAGTCAATAACATCAGCTACTCGACGGACGAAGATAGGGCCGAGGCGTTGGCTCAATCCTTTAAACTAAGCCATACGGTATCTGCTGGGCTCGGCGATCCGGTAACTAACACAGTCGTTGATGTCTCAATTCTCTAAGTCGTACAATTACCTTTAGGGCCACTAAATGACTAGGAATAATTGGCAAGCTATGCTTAAAAGCCTTTCCTCCGAAGGGTACAAGGTATATTACTTGCATAGTCAATAAATGTCTAGAGTTATGTAATTTTCCGTCTGTCTGGTGATGTGCCAAAATTGTTCCTATATTAAAACAAAATAACCCTGTCAAGTTGCTCTCTTCCTATAGGCCTATTAGTGTTTTGTTGGCAGTCAGCAAAATCCTTGAGAAGGTAATCAAAGATAATTAACTAATTTGATTGATTGATGAACACAATACTGTTCAGCCCCCAAGGAATCAACATATTCGCATACATATTCTTGTAGTTTTTAGTGTTTAGCGTTTAATTTAATTTAATTAGGATTGTAGGAATTGTTCATGGGGTTTCTTTCTTTCTTTGTTTTATTACCCCAAATAATAATGTTATCGCATATGCCATATGTCATATATGTAAATAAATATCGGAGCAGCCTAAACCTAAAAATTATTATAAAATACTGTTCACAAAAATCTGTAGTGTAACACAGAGTGAAATAAATTTAAATTGAAATCGAAAAATATTCTAATTTGCAAAAAGACGAAATGGAGGAAGAAATTATAAAAATCAGTAGTGACGAAGAGTTCCAGGACACGGAGTGGTGGGCGTCGCAGGCTGGGCCGGCAGGGAGCACTGTCCCTGTCCCTACCCCGGAGACCGTGGCGCGGACAGAGGTTTGAGGGTGAATGGCATCGGTAGGACGGTGCAATACGAAGCCGCGCCTAGTTGCGGAAACAGGGAGGCAGAGAAGACGCGGCAGCGTCACGCGGATGACAAAGAAGAGATCACCGCGTGTGACGGTGCGATATACACTAGAGCCGTGGAGAATTAGCGATGGCTGGCCGACTCTAGAGGATGAGGGTGGACTACGTAGGGCCACCGCAAGGCCGCAGAAGCGAACACCAGACGCTCCTTGCGCGAGCGTCCAAGAGCCCATCCGAGGTGGCCGGTAAACAGTGGATGCCTCACCGCGGAAGCAACCGTCGAGGGGAGCGAAGCTCATGCGCGACATAGCTGATATCCTGGACGGGTGGAATTCCGACATGGCGATCTGTATACCAATGGAATTCTCGACTTAGATCAGTTTTTCCAAAGGCTTGAAATGCAAGCCGGTATACTTAATATCTGCCAACTCAAAATGGCACCGAGCGAAAAGGCTCAAATAAAAAGACACTATTGTTGCAAATATATTGCACGTCATATCAAAGAGTATATTAAGAAATGTCCAAAACGCCTAATTTCTAAAATAACAACACACATAAAGACCCCTACGACAAGGACTGAGACACCGAGCATATAAACCAGATAATACCATCACTAGACTTCAGGGACAATAAAAAGAAGTCATCGAACATTCAACGAATATGGTCGTACCAAGACAGTTCATAGACTACATTAAAAAATATAAGATGAGTCCTTTATACAATTCAGATGATTATTCAAAAGAAATAAAGTTTAGATTAAAAGTTGTATATAAAAGAACTAGAATTATGTTAGAAAATGCTAAGGCTTATAGAAAAGTAGAATATGATAAAAGAGCTAAGATACAGTACTTAATAGAAACGAAGCAGTGCATAAATTAGACCTAGCATACAAAGTAGAGGTGCCAAACTACCGATGGTGGGCCCCATCGATTGAAGACGATAGTAATTTCCAAACCATCGATAGAAGTCGATAGTACCATCGATAGTGGTCGATAGTCGCAATAAAAAGTAGTGATTCTTGGCGTTAAAAATTTGAACTTATATGAACACTTCAATTTTGTGAAATTACATTTTAAGATAAAAGCTGAATTGACTTAAAAGCTAAAACCTAAAAACTATTAAGTTCTGTTTTTTATGGTAGTGATAGATTTTTGTTCAAAAACAGCAAAACGTTCACATTTTCTTCTTTAAGCCGTGTCCGCCTATTAGACACAATTTGTCCCGCCTTGCTGAAAGCTCTCTCCGACTCCACAGACGTAAAACAGACAATAAACAAGTAAGAAAGCTCTAGTCGAGACTGCTCGACTACGAGATCCCCTGAAC